AAAAAAAAAAAAAAAAAAAAAACCCCAAGGCCAAAGAAAGTAAAATAATTGACCTTAGTTTTCAGAACTGGAAAGCTACAGTGCTGAGTTTACAACCAGCTCTGTCTGCAGCCCCCACCAATCCAGCCCCATGTTCATTCCACTCAACCGAAGTAGCTTCTCTCCTGCTTTTCTTCTGCATTAAACAGGCGGAAAATGTTAGCTTTAACACTCAGCTGCCGCAGTAAGTTCCATTTCTTCCAGTGGTTCTCCTTCTCATTCTTTTCTTAATATACTAGCTTTCACATTAACAGTAAAGCTATTCATAAATTAAATGCGGAACCTGGCTATGGCTTTGCTTCTTTTCAGAAAGCAATGGCTCTTTAAGCCCGAAGAAGTTTAATGCTTGCCATAAATCCGGGAAAGAAATGAATGAGCACAATCCTCAGGCTGGAGTCTGGCCACAGGAGGGACCGGGAACTGTGTTGCATCATTCTATTATCTGTTACTAAGAAAGGAGCCAGCAATTAGCAGAGTGATCTAGACTAACCACGCTAACATCCTGAGGGAGGGATCGGTGTTTTGCCGTCTGGAAGCTGGTCCACCTCAAGCTGTTCCTGGGTTCTTTGGCTTTGTGTCACAAAGGGAATTGATTTGATCAATTACATCGCCACTACCTAATTAGTAAGCAAGCCCACACTCACCCATCAGTTTCACAGAGATTAAACTTGGGATCCTAACTGCAGACCAAATTTCATAGCTAAAAGTCACGGTACCTTTCATCCTCAACCCACAACAGGTTCCCTGGAGTTACTCATCACAAGCCTTTAGCCCGAGGCTGGAGACAGCTTTTCAGAGTCCAGACAGCTGGGCTGCCAGTTCCTCCCACATTTCAACACAGATGATCTTGTAAAACCCTTCAACTTAAGTCTTTTTTGCACCTGCCACATATCACCGTCAGAAAGCACTTGCACTGTCATCCTTCCATTTGAGTTCCCAGCCCCATTTCAGCAATCCCGGCTACTAGAGAGGCTGAGGCAGGAGCATCACAAGTTCAAAGGTAGTCTGCCAGGCAACACAGGGAGACCCTGTCTTTAAAAAACAAGAAAAAATTCATTTTGAGTTTTCCACTATCTCCACAAAGAAAGAAGAGACAGCTTTCTTTTTCAACACGAAGGAAGCCTTGCAGAAATGGTTGCTGTAAACCAGAGGGTCTCGCAGCACAGACTAGTCATCATTTTCTCAAAAAGCACCTTTCTTCGGTTAGTTTTGTTCTGTGGTGAGAAGTCATACATATTTGTTGTAAAGAATTTAGAATATGCAGAAAAACAAAAAGAAGATAATAAGCTGTTTCTTGAATATAACCACTGGACTGTTTAATGACTACTGGGTGGCATCATACATACCACTTTGTATGCTGCTCTTTGCTTTTGACATAGTATGCACATTTTCTAGTCATGTTCACTAATTCAATCTTTACTAGCTGAGTGGTAATGTTATTATTAAGCCGATCGCTTACATTCCAATTTTCAGTTATGACAAATAACATAGCAATAAAAAAAATTTTTAGAACCCTGGGTCTTTGTCCTGTGTTACATCCCTGGCCCTTTTTATTTTTTATTTTAAGACAAGACCTCTTTAAGTCTCTCAGATTGGTCTTGAAGTGTAGATCCTCCTGTCTCAGTTTCCCAGAGTGATGGAATTACAGGCTCAGGCCACCATGTCCAGCTGCAATAAAATCTTTGCATACAAATAATTTTATTGAGTATTCATTACATCTCAGATAAGTGCTTTACATGTATTATCCACATGTATTATTTACATGTAGTACTAAGTGTTTTACTTGTATTATTTCATTTAATCCTCCTAAGAACTCTATGGTTCTATTTTACAGATGAGCCACCTGAGGACTAGAGAGGTTAAATAATTTTCCCACAGATAATAAGTGACAATGCTAAAATTTAACTTAAGCCACTATGACTTCAAGCTACCACCATTAGCCCCTAAGATGATATAGTTCTAAGAAACTAAATAATAAAACTTGAAGGCCTTCGAGCCACATCATCCAATTGCTTTCCACCAAAAACACAGCACTTTGTCCTCCTATTATCAGGGTATGAATGCTCTTTCACTTGCACCTTCACCAATGCAGGATCCAAAGAAATTTCTATTGTTCATTAGAGAAACAAAGTCCAGGCTTCTAATGGCTCATTCCTGCTCTTAAATCATGCATGCAACCTGGTTTCTGATTGAAACAGTGATTTTCTTAAAATCAACAATTCTCATTCCGTTTTTTTTGGTATATGGATTCTTTTGCAAATCTGATGGAAGCTATGAAGCAGCTACACAGAAAATGCAGATAGACACGTACAACAAATGAAGCCTTGTTTTTCAGTAGCTCACAGACACCACTTAGAACTCCTGTGCTTGCTAGAGGCTACATCAACAACATTAAAACTAAAACTAAAAGCAGAACGAATAAACCCAGCGTTCAAACGCTGGTGGTTCAACCAGATTGCGCTAAAGATCCTGCAAGATAGAGGAAGCAGATCAGAAGGGACTGAAATAAAATGCCCAGGCCCCGTAAAGGGAGCGTCTGTCGTGCAGAGAGAGGGAGCCAGGGCAAGACTCTCTCTTGAGGTCATGTTGTCCTCCACCGCACCAGCAAGACCTCAGCACAGATGGACAGGCTAGCACCGGCACCTTGGGAGAACAGTTTGTGACATGCTTGCCATATGCACTTCTTCAGGCGGGAGGGTTTTTCATCTCCCCTCGCATCCTGCTCCTTCGTGGTTTGCATGCCTCGTGTCAGATCGGTAAACCTCCACCAACCTTCCCAACCCTCCCGTGACAAGCAGAGCATTAGAGCACAGAGGTCGGGGAGTCTGAGGCCTAGGGTCTTGGGTGCTCATGTGCTCTGACCGCTGCTACGCCAGGCAGACTTTCCTGCGAGGCCTGCTTGACCTGAGCACCTGCCTCTAGGAGGAATGGGACCATTTTTTTACAATGATTCATCGAGGCTCAGTGACATTTTCAGAATTAGAGGTGGAACATGTGGTTCTAGCCTGCAAGGAAGGAGGCAGACAGAGGAATTAGCAAGCTTGAGTGAACTGTCCTTTCGGGTGACCCAGTGGAGAATTTTGTTCTGCCTGAATGAGCAAGCCAGACCACATGAGACACGTGAAGAATGTACGCAGGGCCAGGCGCAGGGCCACAGGCCTGTGAATCTCAGCTACTTGGGAGGCTGGAGCAAGAGAAATGCAGCCTGGGCAACCTTAGTGAGACCCCCTCTCAAAATTTTAAAACTGGTTTAAAGGGCTAGAGATATAACTCTGTAGTATAGCACTCGCCTAGCATGCAGAATGGTGTGCATTCTATTTCCAGTATGAAGAGAGGAAGGGAGGGAGGGAGGCAGGCAAGCAGGCAGCTCCTTGGACGGAATCCGAGCTTCCCTAGCCTAGCCAACCAGCCACCCTAGTCGGAAATACCTGAGGGGCAGGGACGGGAACAAGGACTGGTGTGCCCTCTGACGGCCTGGTTTAATTCCATCTTTTCATCTCTAATTATTTTCCCACCTGTGAAGTCTTCCCCTTTGCCCTATCTTCTCACCTTCTTTTCTTGGCAGTGCCCATCCACGAGTCACAGACAAATCTGTGTGTTAAACATCCCTTCTCCTTCCAGCTCTTTTGGGTTCCTGGGACTTACGAGACCTGGACGTGGCACAGGGTGACTTTTCAATTCTAAGAAAACGACATCTTCTCCTGGATTGGGCTGAGAAGATGAGTCATCTGAAGCTAGTATAGATTCATACAGAAACACTGCTCTTCCTTCCCCTCTACATCCTCCAGTTCCCTGGGGAACACGCTCTACTTTCTCCCATTGCCTCCGGGTACCTGGTTTCCTGGTGGCCTGCCTCGTAAGGCCAAAACAACAGATGTTGTAATGAAATGGCTCTGTGACTCTGAACAAACTGCTGCTCTTCTAAGCCTCAATTTCAACATCTGCAAAATGGAGACAGTTAATAGTCCCTCCCACGTACAATTTGGGGGTCACTGAACAAGGTCATGTGTGTTAGTGGCATGTTACAGGACTTTCTGTTCTCAGTAGGTTGTAACCGCCTATTGTCATGAAGTTCGGATCATCACGATTTTCCATATTTTCCCTGAAAACACAATAAAGATTTAGCCTCTTTCTAACTAGAGTGAGGGTCCACACGTGCTCTCCGCCTTCTCCGTCATCAGGACACTGACTCTAGAATGGGCAATCAGACTTTTGTATGCTAAACAACCTTGTTAAACTGCAGCTACTTGCAGTTTAATACACTTTCCCCCCTGGCTCTTACACCTCCATTCATAAAGGGGGTGCTATCTATTCTCTGTCCTTCCAGCTCCTGTGTCTTCTCCAAGTGTGTAAAGATGGAAGGGTTTTTGGAGGTTCATGGTTGGAAAGCAGCAATGACAAGTAATGCCTCCTCCCCAAACTCACCCCCTACTTCTCTCCTTCCCTATGTGTGACTGGCACCCCTGGGTTTTCTCCCAGACTCCTCTGCACCGAATGCTCCAAGGGATTGCAGGTCTCCTGTCTCTGGCAATCAGCACAGGGTTAGCAGACAGGCCAGTAGCTCTGGGCCAGGACTGCAAGTGAGTCTTGTCTCTGCCATGATGTAATCTTGGACAATCTGCTTAATCACTCTGAGCCATTTCTGTTTGTCTGTCGTGTATGAGCCAGACATAATCACTATACCCACCTC